AAAAAATTATTTAATACAGAGTAGATGGTTGTAACCTTCATGAAAAAAATGTTTTTGTGATGAGTTTTCATTTGAAAAAAAAATATTTTTGTAAAACTCAAAAACAAAATAACAAAAATTTCAAAAAATTTTATTTTTGATAAAACATCACATTTTTATAGAACTTTATAATTCATCAATTAGTTTTTTCTAAAAATAAATACGTTTGACTTTTTATTGTTCAAAATTTTGCATATCGATGCATATTTGGCATATATTGGAGCATATTTCTTAATATTTTGTGCATAATTTTGTGAAAATACGTGCTTATATATGCGCATATTTTACGATTTTTTCGTGCATATAATCCGAGCCTTACTTATAAGTATCAACAAACTATTGTGGTGTCCCTTGGTGACAGTAAGAATGACCACGAGAGGTTGGGATTTATGGTCGATGGCAGTTGACAGTGGGAAGAAGAATTATTGGAAGATGGAAGTTGGTGTAGGGGTTGATTGGTTTGGTAAAAATGTAATGAGGGCCTAAATAATTTGGTGGTGAGGTATCCCGAGTGTGTGGTCGAGGACAGTGAAAAGGCGTAGCGCCGAATCCACGACGACTAGCGTTGGCATTGTAGTCAAGCTATTAGCAGGGATTTATAGCATTCGTAACATAGTCGTCTATCGTCCAAGATCTAATATGTGACCGGGAGATCGGGAAAGGCCCGAATTACCTATAATTGCGCTAAGTGGACTCAGTAGTCTCCACTGTGAATGACAATATATTCCATCCCCAAYCCGCAATATGTTACACAYTGTACATGACTAATATCGGATTTTTTAGGGAGATTTCCCTTTTGAAATTCGCCTAACGCAAGAATCACGAAGGGGCGTCCGACTTACTAATTTGCCAACGCGAATTGTTTTGCTCGTTTATGTCGTTCAAAGGGCATTTAAAAAAGACACGTTTACGCGATGACTTTTTACCTTTGAGGCCCAAAGGTCATTGGGGGTTAATTCACGGAATTTATGGCCCAAAAGGGACAATTTATCTGCTAATATAGTAAAATATAACCTTTCCATAGGTCAAACGCTATTTTCCGAACGCGTTTTACGACCTAAACTTTAAAACATCGCGCGAAATTAGCGAAAAAATAATCTGATCACTTTGCGCCATCCCTGATTTAATGCACGAATTCATCGAAATCAGGGATCACAACTCTAATATCGAATTATTGGGATTATCCATGTCAGCAGTAAGCGATTAGACCCCAAAATCCGTAACATTTCATGCGGAAATTCTAAACAGCATCATGTCGCAAAAATTCACATCTGGTCAGTTTTTCGTAATTGCTCCGGGCCTTTCTGGATTCATTTCATATTCAGATTATTGTTTGCGCTGGCCTAATGCTAAGCAAGCAACTCGTTAAATATGATAAAGGGCAACACTCTCCCAATTAATTCGCGAATATTCACGAACTAATCAACCACCAAGAACAAAAATAGTTTTTTTCATTTGGATATTTTTAGAATTTTCTAACTGCAGTGCTGAATATTGACAGGTCATTCGCTTCCACAAATTAAATTATACGTTTAAAACGGTCTTTTGGAATTTGTGTGAATACTGCTGGAAATGATCCAGCTGATGGCCATTCCGCATTTATTAACGCTTTTATCACACACATGAATTGGTTAACGTGCTATAATCTCTGTTAATTAGAACACACAATAAATAAAGTTTACAATGATAAATTGTCATTAAATTTGACAGCAGCCAATACAAAATGCGGTCGAAAAATTTCATTTTACGGGTTTATGTTTGTTATAAAATAATTCACTGTTGGGTATTAATAAGAAGTTATGTAAACGCAGCGGTTGACTAGAACTTGCTGTGTCACGCCAATCACGTGATTAACATTAACCAATAAACCACACGTATGTAAAATGTTCCTGGAAATCGATTGGCGTATAGTCATGACTATTTGTGTTTTTGTTGTAACTGGCAAAAATTTTGTCAAAAATTAAAATGCGCTTCGAAGATAAGGTGACCAACCGAACTGTTTTATACAGGACAGTACTCTTTTTGTGGATGCTGTCCTGGTCAAAAAATAAAAAAAACAGTAGAAGTACTGTTTTTTTTAATGTTCTGCCAAGCAACTTCAAATGCAAATAGAAGACCGAAGAGACAATGCATTTTTGCTATTTGCTGTTAAAAATCGTTAGTCGTCAGAGGCATATGATGAAATCAATAGTTCAGCTTTTAAAAACATTGTAATCGGTTTTTATTCAATCTTCGTACATTTTAAAAGTGTAGAATATTTCAAATGGATTTTGCTTGAAAGCATTCCTAAATTTGATGATCATGAGAGCTTTTGGAGATCTTAAAAAAATGAAGAGCTTTTAAAAGCAATTCATTCTTCAAAGAAATATAATTTTATTAAATTAACAATTAGGTGTTTTTATATGTATTTTTTTAAATTTGTTAATGCAATTTTCTTTTCTTGATGTTTTTGAGTTTGAATGTATACAAATACTGTTTTTGTTTGTTTAAAATAAATATTTAGTAGCTATCCACCAACTTTATGTCCTGGTTTTGAGTATGGAAAACGATTACTTTAAAACATTGTTTCTGATTTTCGTAAATTTGAGATATGTTATAGAACGTGTAAAAATAAGTGACACGCATTTCACCGTTTTTTATTTTTTCAATGTTATGTTGAAAAAACAGGGATGTACAAAATTAAGTACCTCGGAGCAAAAACAATTTTCATCTAAAGAACAAATCAACATATTGAAACGAAGTTTTTTTTTTAATAATAGATATAAATAGGTACATTACGGACGTGATAATATATGTATTCTAGAAATTTGTTATTAAGAAATAATTTAAAAATATATTGTTTAAACGAAAAAATAAACAATTACGCAGGTTTTTAAAATTCTCAAAAAATTTATGTATTTTTACCATGTCTTCACATAAGTTGTTTTAAAAATGGCTGAAATTTTTTTTTTTTGAGAGCGCTGCATAGTGTCACTTATTTTTACACGTTCTATAACATATCTCAAATTTACAAAAATCAGAAACAATGAGTTTTAAAAGTGATCGTTTTGGCATGGTATTACTCTTTTTGGTTTTCTGTAGTTGGTCACCTTAGTTTAAGAGTCTCAGAAAAGTAATAATATATTGGATTAGAGGCGTGATGGTGCAGTGACATAAAGTTCTGCTTCCGGTAGGAAGTTAAAAAAATGAATTTTCTGAGTTTGAATGTTTAAAAGTTAGTTCTTTACACAATTCAAAATGTAAAAAACCTATGACAATATTACTTGCTTGATCTTGAGTTACGCATGTTTCAACTGATTTATTTTTTCCATTTAGTAATTATTGATTTAAGTTGCTTTCGACGAGCTGAAATATTAGTTTAGAAAAGTGAAATGGCAAATAAATAAAAACGTGAACCCCGTAGAGCTATAAAATGTTATAGGAGCAATAAAATAAATATGACAGCAATTTTAGTTTAATATTCAAGAAATCAGATTTATGAAATTTATGAATTTTTAAGCATTCCTGTGAATTTTGTTGAAACTGTTAATTTAAGTAATATTTATTAAAACGTAAAAATATCGTAAAACTCATTGATGTGAGATAGGAGTGAGTTATTCGTGTCAGCACCCTATCTGTCGGACGCGGGGGGTTCCGCTGAGGGGACGCAACAAGAATGGTGTTTAGTTATTCAGCGGCGGCGTGTGTATAATTTAAATTGAAATCTTATCTGTAGGGCTTGACCTTTGGTTGTTTGGGCCGGCGGGCGGCTACTAATCTACTTCAGCAATGGGTTAAATTCGGAAGCGAGAGGAACCGAAAGAGTCGGATTTACCGGCTTGTGGGTGCCCAAAACCCATCAGTGATGAATCCGGCCATAGGCGTAGACTCCACTCCTCCACGTCTCGTCTTTATTGCATTTAAACGCAAATCTCCGAAAAAGCTACTGACACAGGACATGCCGAATAATAAATCACTTAAAAAGCACTTAGGGCTAGAACTTGAAACTGGACGATCCTGTCGTGGAGGGCTGGTTACACCAGTTCGAGACTATCGCTATCGCTACTTCCTTAATGACAAGGGGCGAGTTATTGCGCCTTTTTCATCTTAGTGTAAAAAGTCGGCGCCCATGGACTCGAGTATGCAGAGGGGAGTGCATTCGCGGCTTGTGGCTCATGGACTCTGATGGCCCCAGGCCTCGGGCGTACCAGCGAGTCACGACCTTTCGTAACCTAACCTGCTTACCAACTTCACACACAAGAAGCCCTGATCACATAGTACAACATTGCTCTTTGCTCTTCTCCGCGCAACTTGGCCAAAATTTAATCGTGCTGCTTGATCAAATGCGACTATTTTAACACAAAAAATCTTTTTGTTCTGTTATAAACCTTTAAGCGGTCTYTTACAATAATGCTGAGCAATGGAAGAACATTGACCACGATGGAATAGGTCAAAGTTGACGCAGGTGTTCATCTAATAGCAGTGCGCAATTCTTAGCTGTTCTCTTTATGACACATTGTCCATTTGGGAATTTTGGTGAAAAGTCAACTTTTATTGTTTTTCTCACCGGTTCACTCAATTTTAAACAAAGCTACTATATCTRGTRTTCTTATTTTTTTGCTAATTGTTAAATTTTTTCGTGTTTTATTGATRGTAAAGTTGTGTAGTTTTGGCCCCTGTCTGGGTGCACTATTCACAATTAATTAACAAAGATATCTTGGTGTGGGAGAAGCGATAGCCTATATTATAGAATACAAGAAGCGCAATTGTGTGAAAGGTAACGAAGAGGGCTTGTCTGAAGGGGTAACGCAGGAAGAACTGATAATGCAAAAGTCCACAATGGTGACCACGACGAGTCTATTTCAACAATGCATTGCTTATCAGAGTTGTTGCAACTATCACTACTATATCTCAATGAAGTGCGAAAACCGAAACAATACGTCTCATATACTACTAAAATAATCAAATTAAAAAAGACTTACCAGTCGTAAAAAGGACTATAGCTTTAAGGCATGAATATTCAGCTGAATCGACGTGAAGTGCTTTTAATTTTTCTACTTGTTCCTGTGAAAAGAAACAAAGAATCAAACAAAGAAAAAATTTTCAGTTTGCGTTACCTGAAATATCCTAATATGATCCATAAATTGTACAACTCGATCTGCACACATTGGTGATGCATGTAGACCCGCTGCTGCTATCAGTGGTGCCACATGAAGTGGCATTGAACACTGACTAGCATTTAAAACGAACAATTCTGACCATACTAATCGTAGTAAAGCAACCTGGAAAAAACAAGACCAGCATTGGTCAAAATTGACTTAACAAGTTTTAACGTTTTACCTGATCTGTGACTTGTAAGTCGGGAAAAAATGGGATATTTCTCGCCCATTCTACCGCTGAAAACAGGAGACGCGCTGCCAATTCGCAGATATTGTCAATACCCATGATATTATTTGCTTGTATGCATTGTCCATACCGACTTGTAGGATAAGGCTCTGCCCTTAGTAACAACGATATGTAACTACTAAGGTAAGTGTGATTACTTAGAGATGAGGTTACAGAATCGGTGGAGTTGAGAAATTGATTTGGTAAACCTGGAAGAGCTGGCTGAGATGGGGGCACTCGACCRCGCTGGACGGCTGCAAAAATTCAAAAATTATGACTATTTATGAAAGGAAATGTGTAATCCACCTAACAGGTGGTGTGTGATAATCACGGTTTAGCATTTTGGCTCGAAATTAATTTATTCCACATTGAACAATCATTTTTGACCTTGTCTAACCTACGAGAGGAAGTAAACAAAACCATGAATCGTAAGGAAAAGCCGCCAACTTTCCCCGACAGGATGCCAAGATTATTTTGCTGGCCCCAAACCAATTTTATTCAATTTAGGCATTTGTCTGCTGCATAAATTTTAAAGTTGTTGAATTGTTTTGTCGAAATATTAAAACTGGTTTGCCAACTCCATATTTGGCCATAATTTCCTAATAGTTGGATTATTAATTTACTCGACAAGAATAGACAGTACAGTTAGCTTTCATACCGGATGAATTTGTTATAAACGAAGGAATTCTAAGCTACTGACAATGAGTCTTTAAGGAGAAAAACAAAGAAATAAGAAGGGAGGGTCAGAGCTACTCAGTGCATACATATATTAACATTTTTATTACAGCAATTAGTAGTTTCTGCCACTGTATGAAATAATAATTTTTTGAGTACGATGATTGTCTATCGATCAATCAATAATTTACTGGGCAATTAATTAATCGGTTGATCGATTTGTGTGACGCTTTGTTAGGTGATTAATCGAGCGCTCAGTCGGTTTAGAAGTGATATCGACACACATAGACATAACCGATCGAAAAACATTAACAAGGAGTGACTAATCCTGTGTTAAGACAACAAGTTTGTCAAGCATGTTGTCTTAAGAGCAATTAATAACAGTTTGATAATGATAAAAGTTTTTTCGTTTCGCTGTCAATGTTAATTTGCAGTAAAGAAGACATGAAAACAAATTGAAAAACAGGTTCTCAGTGCAAAATTATGTATGTCTAGTTGTTTGGAATGCAGTTTTTTTGTTTTGACACACTTCAAGCCACATTAAGGATGGGTTTAGTTTGATTCATCAATGCTTTTACGCTGGAAATTTGTACTTTACACCTTTTAAAAGCACCGAAAACCGAACGATCTTAATCTATGGTGTACAAAGGCGAAGTTTGCTCGATGGCACTGATACGACCTAAAGGCAGTGTTATATGGTCGATCCTTTCAAGAGAAATTTACCTTGTCTTTGACGATCGCAACTAATTTAAGAACTTCTAGGACAATAGAGGAGTGATTTTGTCTCAAATGTTTTGCTTGAATGGAGACTTAGTGACAAGAGTTTGGCTAGGTTGTTATGGCAGGTGTAAATAATTAAGTTGATTGCATATAAGATGGGCGAGTCTGAGCGTTGCAAAGGTTATATTGACGCAATCGGTACTTAAAAATCGAGAGAAGTATTGGAGGCGATGGGCAGGTATAAGTCGAGATAGTGGTTCTTGGTCGATATCAAAGTCCATCAGCATCTCAAGAACCATAACGTATAACGAATAACACACCATTAATCAAGCTCCACGGCTGTCTAAGATCATTTATATAAACCGTGACGTTTGAATTAACATTGATTGCTGTTCAAGTTTTTCAAATTTTTTATGACATGTACATTATTGTATTGGCTATTAATAGTCACAAATGTCACAAGTTGTTCAACAACAACTTTCTCGCGTTGAACCTTAAGTCTAAGTTTTTGTAATTTCGTTACTTTTGGATTTTGATTGTACGCTGGGTTCGTAGTAGAGTACCATCGTTGTTCGGTGTTGGTCTCTGGTCGCTGCTCGCTTGGTAAGGCTACAGGGTCAGGGTCAGGTAAGGTCATTTCCCACGATAACCACATTCAGCATAGCAACCTAAGACTTCAGAATCTGAATTATAATCCAACTTCCACGCAAAAACATTTTTACGCGACAAAGAATTTTTCTATCTTCAAATATTTCCAGGCATCAACAATAAAACTTCAGCAATGTGCGCTCGCACACGATACATCAATGGGATCTGGAATACTCGACACGTGCGTCGAATTCTTCAATATCCACGACTATTTCACTCAAAAAGACTCAATGATTTATCGCCAATGTAAGAAGCAAATTTTATATCTTGTTGTGCAAGAACTTTCAACTCAAATCCACACAAAAATTACATCACTTCCGAGTAATCAACGCAAATTTTGATTTCTCTCACATTTGTATTAATTTTGTTTTCACTTTCATGCAATGCCGATTTTCTTTTACTTTTTATTAGCACTTTGTTCATATCTTAGATAATTTATACGGCTACTACGAACATCCTGTAAAATTTGCATAAAAAATTGAAAACAAGCAGAGCTTTGGGCTGACTATTGCATGATTCCAAGTACTTTGTAAAGTCATACAAAAAAATTACAAATGTCATGAAAAACTAATGTGGTAAAATGGAAAATTAATTTATAAACAACCATTAATTGTTGCAACTTCAATTAACCCAACCGGTCATTATTTTGATTTTTCAGGATCAAAACGAGACAGGAGACTATACAACTGGCTAGATAGGATTACAAAAAAATAGTCCAAAAAATATACAGTATGTCCCCGGATTGGGTTTCTAAGAGGAAAAAAAAATATCTTTGACTTTACACCATTTTTTGCTTCATCTGAAACGAGCAAATCTGCAATTAAAACTTCTGATTCAGTGAAAAGAAAAGTTTATTTATCTCTTGATTTTGGATTTGGAATAATTTTTCTCTGCTTTTTAAATCAAATCACATTGGTGGTTTTATTTTCTTGACAATGATATCACTTTGACAAATGAGTTTTCGCAAGTTAAATAACAAAAATGTTTGTGAAAAACGTAATTTTGATGAATAGCAACTCAAAGAAACAGCTTTAAGATAAAAAAACAAAGTCATTTTTAACAAGAAATAACATTATTTAATTAAAAAATTCATTGTCAAAGTGACATATGGTTGTCAAATGATATGACCTAAAAGCAGAGAAAAATTATTACAAAATCTAAAATCAAAAGAAAAATCAACTTTTCTTTTCACTGAATCAYAATAATGAAGTTTTAATTACAGATTTGCTCGTTTCAGGTGAAGCAAAAAATGTTTTTCCTTTGCAGTTTTGGCGTAAAATCACAAAGATAAATAAAAAGATTTCCTCTTGTAAACTCAATCCGAGGACATACTCTATATTATATCACAAGGTAAAGAAGAGATTTTTTTATGTCTACTTAATGAAACTGATGATCTTGTAAATGTTTTTTATAATTATTTAGTAAAGGAAAAAAAAATTGCCAATAAATGCCACAAATAACATTAAACAAAGTTACAATTTAGATACAGCTTTCTTGTTTCCTCTTCTAACAGCTTGTAGCAAAAAACTTAGAAAAGTATTTTTCCAACAGAAATAAATAGAGTCAAAGTTTTTTCCATGTTCCTGGTATCTTACCTTACATGGTATTTTTCTCTGGGGCGCGAGTTTTGGCGCACCCGGTATATTGTCAAATAAATAACACCGAGACTTAAAAAGCAGAGAAAAATTATTCCAAATCCAAAATCAAGACAAGAATTAACTTTTCTTTTCACTGAATCAGCATAATAAAGTTTCAGGTGAAGCAAAAAATGTTTTTCCTTTGCAGTTTTGGCGTAAAATGAAAAATAAAAAAAATCCTCTTGTACAAGAGCCAAGATTTTTTTGAGTTTAGTTGTAGTATTTTACATTTAACCATAAACTTAAAAATAACTAAATAAACAACAAACAAATAATAACAGAAAAAGCAAAGAAATGAATAATGAAAAATAGCAATTCAACATTGATTATGTATTTTGTAAAAGTTTCATTGCTATCTTTTTTAACACTTACTGATTTTATTAAACTTGTTTAATATCTTTGTGAATTGTCGAAATAGACTCACAATGGTTTTTCCTAATTATGTTTTTTTGCAAAAAATCCTTGTTCCATACTTGTGTCTACCAATTTTAGTTTTGTTTTTACTACTTGTACAGAAAATTTATTTGATTTGATTTTTGGATATAGTATATTAAAACACAAATGTTACAAACATTCTCATCGTGATACGTGTTACAAATGCAAGAGTATCACAATGAGAGGTTGTAACACGCGTTTTTATACAATTTTTTCTATTGCGAGCTTTTTAAATTGAAGTTATTATTATATTTGACAGTGAAAATTTTTGACACTTGACTATGCGGTACCCAAATTGCTCAAAAATCGCTTAAAACAACAATTTCTTACTTAAAAACGACATTCTATGGCCAAAAAAGAGTGTCAAAATTGTGACACCGAAATGGGAAATTTTTTGTTGTCAGTGCAAACCGAGATTAGGGCTATCACACAACAAAGTTAGTTGTGGTGGTTTAGTATTTATTTGTGGCGTGTAAGCTCCCTTTTGTTTGTGGGGAAGTTTTCGAAATGGAGTAATTTATGTATGGGAGTGAGTTTGAGACGGGCAGGCAGGCATAGGCAGCGCCAATCTTCGGCGGTGCGATGTCATTTAAAGTCGAGGTCGTCTGAGTATTTTATAGCTCGGCTTGGAATATGAGTTGACCCCTGGTTACAAAACGTAAAATCATGGTGTCGCCCTACAGCTCAAATTTCTCGTTTATGAACCAAGTTCCAGTAAAATATTACAAAGAACAACAAGAAAGCACATTTCCCGAGTAGTGGCTATAATTAAATTAATGTAGTGTGGACAAGATTGCTGTCTTGTGTGTCCCACGGTCTTCCTTCAGAAAACTAATGGCCCCAATTCTACGAAATTTATTTCAAGCATATCTCGTCTGTTATAATATTCGCTCGAGAAACGCCGGAATACAACAAACAGATCGTTTAGAATGAATGATACCTTTTTAACACCTTTTAGTCTTAGGGTCCACACAGCTTCAGGTAAGTGCAGGTGTGTTTCTGGGTTAAGGTTTATCACAATGGGCACACGCTAACACAACAAAACATAAAAAAGGGACAACTTTTTGCTTGTTAATATCGGAAATTGGATTGTTTCATGAGTAACGAAAATCATAGATTTGGCAATATATTTCTTATGGTAGTGATTCATGTAATCCTTGAAGGTTTTGGTTCCCACGAAAGGTATAACCCAGGGTGATTTGAATAAGTCCCTTCCCTTCTTTCGCTTAATTTACATAATGTTTACTGGACACTGGTCATCTATCCGTTACCCTCATTGCAAGGTGTCTTTGCGAACCCTTCAGAACTAGTTCCAGTTCTTCTACCTGACTCGTTATACATGGTTTTGTCAAACGCTATTATTAAAAGGATATGTCAGTAATCCTCAGCCGTCTTTTCCGGTTTGGCGAGCCGCAGCGAATTTTGCATATAAGACATCCTCAGAGCAACCAAAACTAAATTACGAAAAATATGAAAAGATTCTTACTCGCTTTCGGCCGACGACGTTGCCCTGAAGATGTCGACCAGAAATCGATCTTTCCTGTGGATTTGCTCGAAATTAATTTTATTCGGATATTTAAATGTCGGTTTTGGGGTGAGGGAATGCGAATTCAGAAACTCAGGTAATGACGGAGCGATGGATCGGGATATTTTCCCATATACTGACCACCAATACGACCATTAATCTCAAGTCAGTCGTTAATGTATGCAAGCYGTAAACGATCTTTTAGGTACGAGAAAGGCCCTTTGTTGGACCTTACGGTCAAGTATTTGTATATTAAATCGATCAATCATCTGCAAGAATAGGGAACGTTGGTTTGCTAGCCGGCTACTCGCTTATACATACATAAGCCTAAATATTTTCATACGATCTTTGCTTGACCGAGATGGAAACCCGTGGAAATATTAACTTTGCAAGTAATTTCAGCCGCTATCCATTATTTGAAAAACCTTATTGAAATGTAAATCACTCCTCCGCGCAACACTAAACACACAAACCGATTTCAAATTCTCACATTCTTTTTCATACATTGTTCCTTAACTTCACTTCTATTAATAACACGTCTCCACATCTGGAACTTTTAGAGCAGACAAGCCAATRACTTCAACGCGAAAAATTTCCTCTTATGAAAATTCATTGAGGTTACAGAGACAATGTGAATAAAATTATTATGTTTACTTTCCTTCTTCAGTATACTGTTAAATAAACATTTATATTATATTGACTCAAGTCTTTATTYCAATGAACTTGAAACAAGAGGCACATTTATGTTGGTCATTTTTTTGGCTTAAGACGACTTAATCCAAAAAGTAGAAGCCAATCACTACTTTTTGGGCAAGGATAAGATAAATTGGTTGGATTGTYGTGATTTCTCACACAAGCATTTAGGGCTTTTAACAATATCCAAAACGCTTGTTGAGTTTCGTGCAAAATTGGTACGTCCTTACCTTCTCTCCTCATTCCCATCTTCATACATTTTTTGAGGCGACAGTATTGACATTGATTCCTGTGGTGTTGGTCGATAGGGCAATTCCTGCTTCCTCGACACGAATATGTTAGATTCCTTCGAACACTCCTCTTGAAAAATGACTTGCAACCTGTAACATCAAAAACAGTTACTCACCTATCATGCGAGCTGACGAAGCAGTATTACATTTTATGCAAGCGACGTTTTAAGAACAATTTTTTATAAATCAAATGCGAAAAATCAAAGTTTGGTCGTTTGGAATGTTCGGTTAAAAATGAAAGTTTTGACGAGTGAATTGTTGAAAAATGGAGTAAAGTAATTGGGGCAATAATTCGCCTGTCATACGTGTGTCTCCTTCAAAGTCTTTTATAGTTTTATGACCGAAATGTTTTTATAAAGGTTCATTTTTCTTTCGTATTCCCCAAAGAGCTGTCAAATCCTCAACAGAGGGGCCATAACGATGTCTAGATTTTTCACGTTTTGTCTTTGCATCAGATAATAAAAATAAAGCAAAGTATTTTAGCCGGTTTTAATTGTGATTATAATAGACATGCGCTTTGTGTATTAATGGAAGCCCTTAGATTAACGCCACCATTTACTTTTATTTTAATCCCAATACCAATAAGAAAGGTTTCTTAAGTATTGTACGACTTCTAGCGTATTTCATTACAATAATACAATCAAATTTCGTCGAAATTATTTGAGTGGCTTTATCCGGAACGAATCGGAATCCCGGAAAGGGCATAATTACATGCATTTTGGGGCGTAAAATGGCCGTTTCACTTCAGTGTGAATTTATCGAGGGCTAGGACCAGGTGGCTCTCCCTTTTTTACATTTAGAATGATTTAAATGTGAGCTCTGGAGCCACACATTTGACCATTTATTTGCAATTAATTTCTTAATCGAATAACAAACAACTAGGAAAAATAGCATATAGTTAGACTCAGTTAGAGGGCTGTCTTGCCCAAGTGAATGAACTGACAGACTTGTAATTACTTTAATTACTATTATAATTGGTCCTGATAAGATCTTATGTATACGCAGCGAAGCTGTTCGACTCAGGAAACGTTGAGAACAAGACATCGATAACAGCGAGATTTACACTTCACATTTTACTATTACAAGTCTTACTTTTCCCTCTTTCCTCTCACTTGAGGTAATTTCATTTGCACTCTATTAGAAAAACCGCCTGAATCATGAAATTCTTTTCATAAAAAAATACACGATGATATAATACCCACTACGTATATGGTAAACACTGTACCTTAGGTATTTTGTTGGAACTTGTAACCATACTGCGTAATAATAGAGGTATATACTTATTTGAATTCATTTACATACCATCATCAACTTAACAACTTTCTTGATACGTCGGCTTAATTTTACGGAATTCACAGAAATGGGATAGCATCTAAATATACAAATACCTCAATTTCTGAGATTTATAATAAACATCAACAGGAAACACCGATTGCTCAAAAAAGAATATTTTAACTAGCTTTTAAAAAAATAAGAAAACATAAAATGTCACAAAAACCAACCACACATTTTTTATTTCAAAACAGTATAGTGTTGCCCGAATAACTGGAACAGTGATTTAAAAACATTTTTTGTTTAAAAACAACAACAAACGGTTTCATTATGAAACTTTTATTGGTTCGTAGAAGTTCCTTAGAAGTGTGAAAATAAATAAAATTCTTTTCCATGAAACAAATTTGAGTCAAAAAATTGTTCCTACTCGGAACAAATACTTTCAATTTCTTAAAGTTTAGCCGAAATAAATATCATTTTGATCAAAAGAATAAAATTCAAAAAACAAAATTGTTTGTTCTAGAATATGCTTTTTTCTCAGTGTACCTAAAATAACTATTTTAGGTGTTTTTTAAAATCTTCAACCACTTGTCAGAAATGCATATTACAAAATAAGACGTTTGCATGTGCTTTTGGGAACTTTGACAAAAATATGGTTTGTTACACGTACCTAAAAAGTTTTTGGGGACTCATTATAACTTATAACAAAAATAACTATTTTAACTTTGGAACTTTAATTTAAAAACATTTTTTATTTAAAAATAACAACTAACGGTTTCATTCAGAAACTTTTATTTTTTCGTGGAAGTTCCTTAGAAGTGTGAAAATAAATAAAAAAACAAATTTCCATGAAACAAATTTCGGTATTATATATATTTTTAATGTGTAGTTGTAATTGAGTCAAAAAATTGTTGCTACTCGCAACAAATACTTCCAGTTTCTTAAAGTAAATTACATTTGTTTAGCCGAAATAAATATCACATTGATCAAAAGAATAAAATTTAAAAAACAAAATTGWTTGTTCTAGCATTTGCTTTTTTCTCAGTGTACCTAAAATAGTAAAATAACTATTTTAGGTATTTTTTTTAAATTTCAACCACTTTTCAGAAATTAATATTACAAAATAAGACATGTGCTTTTGGGAGCTTTGACGAAAAATATGGTTTGTAACACGTACCTAAAAAGTAGCAACGATTCGTACGTAAAAACTATATTTTAGGTACTTACAACAAAAATAACTATTTTAACATAATTCTTGTCTTCTCAAATTTGTGATAATTTCGTTTAGAATCTGATTTTTTTTGTCTGAAATTTGAATCATCAATTACAAAGCATAAAACATAAAAGTTTTGTTATTTATTTGTTTATTTTTTTATTTTCCACACTTTCTTTTGGATGACTGAAAAAGGAAAGTTTKTGAAAACTGCAAAAACCTTCCAGATAGGTACAAAAATGTAAATGAGAAACTTTGACCAAAGATAAAATTCTATCACATCAAAATAAGTGGAGCTAGAGTCCAATAATATGACATAAGCAGCTTAGAATAAAACACCGATTGTGTGATTGTGATAGTGTCACGTGAAGCTTTAAATATTGAATAGCATCACACACGAATATTAAGAGTGAAAGTTAATTCGAATTAATTTTAACGCGTCAATTTTATTACATAAGTTGGAAGAGTGACACAATTTATGCTTTTCAGCTTTTCACCTGCGACATCTTTAATTAATGAGGAAATATCAAAAAATAGAAAATATTCCACGTAACCAGAATGCAAATTTATAATACGATAAAGTTTAGATTTTTTTCTGATCGGTATGCCGGATGTGGGTCAGGTCGGGTCAGATATGTGGCGAATGTTGAGAAGAATTGTTTTTCGATTTCAGGCGTGAAAGTTGCTGGAAAGATTTTGAAGAAGACCACCAAATTTTGCTTTGGTTTTTGAGACTTGTACGTAACCTAAATCATTTTGTGCAAATTTCTTTCCACATAGCCCTGTTTTTGATTTAGACAGTGGTAAAGTGGAGAAAGAGATGAGGTATTGTAAAAATTAGCATAGTGAATAGTGAATATGCATGAGATGCGTGTGGGCTGGTGATGTTGTTCGCGTGTTGGCACTCACCTTCACACGTGAATTGTCCATAGTGCTTCCCCGAGCTTTTATCCCCGCAAACAACGCACTCGATGTTCTGGTTCTTGTCGGCACTGGTGGCGCTGTTCTGGGAGTTTTGCGAGGGAGTTTGCCGGTTGACGAGCGCGAGATCTGGGTTTTCCAGCGTGATGGGGTTGATGTTGGTGGGTAGCGCAGTTAGGTTGGCGGTCGGTGGCAGCGGATTAAGTCCGTTGGGCAGCGAGTTCAGGCTGGTGGGAATGGGGTTGACGAGCGAGGACTCGCGCCAGGAGCTGGCCACCAAAGCCATGGCGACGTCCGGCGGATCCACGTCACTCACGCACTCTCGCGCGCCCTCATGACCGTCGACACCGAGTTCACAGTTCACCAGTTCACCAGATCGCCGACTCCTGGGTGAGCCGTTCACGGACTTGCACTTGACGTTCGCGGCTTCGAGCTGAGCACGTATCTCGCGTCGGAGGTGATAGGTCAACCCCACGGCACACTCTAGCCTCTACTAGTGACCTTTCGGTCTCGGGCCCGACACCGACTTGGCCTGGGCGGTCCGGGGAGGTCCTTGGTTCACAGCCGGGTCACGATAGGCCAAGGGGCGTTCCGAGACTGTGGTGGGGGCGCCGACGCGCGGGGGGACTACTCACACTTCTACTCGCATCTGACTATACCACAATACTCTTTCTTATACTACAACAACCGAAACTACGTTACGTATGTATTTGCTGCTGATGCTTCTCACTTCGACATCTACTCCACGCGAACGAGATCGCAGTAGTGCATGACCCGACCTCTTCTTGTGATGTTCAAATCCTCTCCAAGTGCACTTTAGTGTTACATACAATATTTATCTACTACAACTATCATCAGTGGATGTGGTGCTCAAACACAACAACACGCTCATACTTAACATAACACCAAGGTTTACTCCAAATGATCTAATCTGTGACGATGGCTATTTGTGCCTATTAMRCGCAAATTTCATTTTTAATTTCAAAAATTTCATTATGTAAGTGAAAAATAACAATTAGCAATGTCAAAATTTTTATTTATTTTACTTTGTTAATTTTTTATTTTAACAATTGTAAATCAGAAAGGAGCACAATTGTTTACCATTCTTAAGCACCAATTATAAGTAAGAAACTAGGATGCTAACAAAAAGATTAATTGGTTTTAATGGTCATTAAGCGTACGTGCTTTTAAAATAATTTCATTCACATTAAAACACTTCAAGGTTAATTATAGGTGTATTCAAACTGTCTCTTTACTCATGACGTTGAGCATTATGCCCATATGTTACAGCAAATTAGCAGAACCATACCATAACAAGAGTAATAAAAATGTTTAAAAAATTAACCAAGTCTTGATCAAAGACAAAAAGTTTGAGATTTGACTGAAATTGAATATTCAGGAGTTGGATAAAGTAAATTTCCAAGTGATCAGCTGCTTCTCAATGGTTAATTGTCTCTTTGCGATAAGATTTTTGTCGGGAAAGCTGCGATAATGAAATGTGTGAGTTGCTTGTCCTAATAAAATGTGATAAAGCAAATGCCGGTCTAGTGTAATAATTAATAGCTTGCGGTGTTGAATTTTTTACATGCTTCGACATAAATAAAAGAGGCATGTCGTGTGCCACGGATCCGTTTCAGGCTCTTGTGGCTTATCTCCATCCCGAGCAAGCTGGAATAATAAGTTTAAATACCTAATCTGTATAACCATAAACCCGAAGAATGGCAAAACATGAGATGAAGAGGAAAGGGTTAGTGTACTAAAGGCCATGAAATTTGGCTTTTGTATTGCGGCTCACCTGATATATTCGGAGCACGCACCTAATCCTTTTGTCATTAAACACACTATAGAAATTATTAGGGGTTATCTGAGAGAGTAGAATGCACAAATACGGATGACCCRAACACCTTTGGAATGTTTTTAATGTTTTGATCTGGCACCGATAGCCCTTATTACAATGTGACGCATTTTTCATAATTAATCACACACGATAGAAATATCGAGGCGTGGATCCTTGTACCAATTGATGGGTAATTTGTCAGAACCCTCTTTTGTATGAATAAAACCATAATTCTTAATATCGCACTACTGGAAGCCTTTCATACACGCCTGATTTTATCCACTACGTGCATCCCAAACAACTGATCTCAGACAATACTCTCTATAATCGCGCAACATTGGGTTTCAATCGACTGAAGAGACATCAGCGTCCCATCAAGGTCACACATTATTAATAATAATTACAATTTATTAGCAAAAACTAAAAACACATCACAAAAATAATTACAAACACAGATTTTTTCAGTGAGATATGGGGTATGTCACAAAAATAAAATAAAAATTATTATTAGGGTAATAGGGAGCAGTAAACGAACGTCTATGTGCTTATTTCTATATCACTTTCGAGTAGCATTAAACACGCCGTTTTGACTTCTCAAGTCTTCAGAGGTTCTCAATATGTTTCATTAATATTTTTGTATTTTGCTTTGTTATTGTTATATGTTTAAAAATTGTATCCACAATGAAGAAAATGAGTAAAAAAGTTTGCTAAATTATACAGGGTGACCCAGGGGTGCGTGCAAGCTCCATAACATTTTGCTATTCAACCTATGAGCTCCGCACTCTAGCAAGCATTGCTTCATCTGTTCTGTCAAATTTTACGACAGCGACCTACTTGATTTTTTTTTTTTTGCACAAAGTAGACCCCCCAAACCCTATACAGTAGAACCCCTCTATAACGAGAACTTAAGGGGCCAATGGATAATAAAAGTTTTTAAACAAATGCAAATGATTTTAATAAATACGAATATTAAAGAAGTTTAAAACAATATTTAAGCAAAAAATCTGTAATTTTTGTGTGTTTTTTGTAATGAAGCATTTTTATCTTATCAGTTGCACTTTTCAATTGTACAAGGCTATTGTAAAAGACATCGTGGTTAGGTGGAAGCACCCAATATCAAAAAATTTCATCTCGAGAGAATCCCCAATTTTTTCTGCAAATTGTTCTGCTTTTTTTTTAACTTGGCCCCACTTATGGGCACATTGGATTCACTTTGAACCATTTAAGAACAACTTTATCTAATTTAGCATTTTTAGCAGTATGTACTTCTTCACTTTTGACCAAAATTCACCAGTTGAACTCGTAATCTTGTCCCTCTTCTTTAAAATTGTTGCCTATGTAGAATTGGCTAAATTTTTCTCTTTGCAGATTACAACTTGTTTTTTACCACTTTCGAACACTGTTATTATTGATATTTTTTCTTTGATAGAAAACGTTTTTCTTTTCGAGGACGACATATTGATACAGAAAGACGAAGTGTTATCTGCTTGAAAAGTTATTCAAGACTGAGAAGTGAGAAGTGAAAAAATAAGACCATTAGCGCTCAAAAACAACATTTTCAAGAAAATTCTGGTCCACAATACGTAATGAAGACTCGTAGGATTTTTATTTCTTCTAGGAACTCTCTTTATAACCGATCTGTTTCCGAAATTTCTGGCTATTCCGATCTTGGACAAAATAAAAGTTTTGTTATATCCACTTCAATTCCAGAAAAATACTCGTTATAGAAGGAGAATTTTACATAGAGTAGTATACAAAACGGCAAGGGAGCAGACAATTTACTCGTTATAGCCGATTTTTCATTATAACCGGGACTCGTTATAGAGGCAAAAAGCTCATAAAAAATGCTAATGCCAATGATGCAATAAAATATAGGGTGTTGTATTGGAAAACGAGTTATTGTCATTTTCAAAAAATCATAGTAGGCGATGGAACATTGACTCTGAATTCGCCTTTATCTCGAAGGATGCGTTAAAACTTAAGAAATCGACTGGAAAAAATTTGGTTAAGTTACCTTGAATGGTTCTGAAGTTATAAATTTTTCTGTGGGTCTATACTATTTTGACACATGAATTGACATAAGTCAAAAACTATTAATACCGGGTGCGTTATATCGACAATTTAGTGGCAAATCTAAAAATGTAACAAAAATTGGGGGTTTTGATTTTAAAAAAACAGAACTTAGTTGTGAATCTTATTTTGGGACGGCCTCTATTAAATAAAAATATTTTTGGAATGTGCCTCATTGTCGGACCTATCGTTTAAAAAAAAATCAAGTCCATAGTTTAGATAGAAAAAACGCACCCCTGGATCACCCTGTATGTATTGTTACACTTTAGGAAAAACCAAAGTAAAATTGTGAAATGGAAAAGAGGAATTTTGTCCCCGTTGCAAAATACTTTTGGGGTGTTTATTTCGCGTTGCGGTTTTAATTTAGGGGTGGTTTTTCCGCCGTTTGAGGGCTGCTGAAGGCATTTAGCGAAGCGTATGAGTAATTGTTACGGTATGACGCGTCTACACAGCAAGAGTGGCTAATATGTAGCTCACATACGCATGCCCATCACTGCACTCATTCAGAATACGTCTACCATAAATGTTAATGCGCTAATCCGACATTTACAAGTAAACTCCTACGGGGGTGGTTTGGAGTGCATCACTAACTCTATTATGGTAAGTAGCTTAGGTCTTTTACCCGACTGCGATTATCTCTCAATAATACGTTCAACTTTTCCGGAAGGTTCCCTAGAAAATGTTCTGCAATATTTTGCTGGAAACTAAACGTGGTATTTAACTTTAGTAATTTGAAAAATTTATGGTCAATACAAAACGTTTGACATCTGGCCTCTATTTAATTTTTATGTTTAAGTGAATCGTAAAATTGAATTAAAGTTGGACCATCAAGTTATTCAACTAGTTTTTTAAACCCTTTAGGCAATTTGGCATTTTATTTGAATGGCAAGTATCGTGCCCAGACAGGTCTAGTTTAGAAAAAGAACCACCAAATATAAACAGTCAAAAGTATCACGTTTCTAATTTATTACCACCCTACATGGTTAACCCATATAACCCATAGGCCCTTTCTCTTGAGTGGAATTCTAAAAAGCCGGCCACTTACTAGTGGAGGTGTAAAAATATCAATTTCTCAAGTTTCATGGCAGTTTTTACGGCAGTCAGCTTGCACAAGGAATGTGTTTTTATTTTTTAGCACAATTGTTTTAGTTTTATGAAGGGTTGGTGTTTCGGTGAATTGGGTGTTCGAGTGGAGAAATGCGATCCGACATGATTGGTGGTGCATAGGGTGAAGTTGAGCGGTCAGGAGTTCCCACGGTGGCATGCATGTGTCACATGTCAACCSGCGAGCTCCAAATGTTTCCAGATTTATGCTTTAGATATGCTAAATCAGTCGGCCACCTCTAAAGTAGAAAGTCGAACTCTGAACGAGTGATTCCCAATTAGGCGCATCCAGGCTTTTCCCGATGAAGTATTGTTTCCTCGTGGGGCTCCTGATGGAAGTTCTCGACACAAAAGACCAGATAAGCCGAAACTTTCCTTCCTCATTTTGTAAAGAAGAAAAGACGCCAGATCATATTCGCACTGAATGCAAAATTAACTCGCCGTCAGTGCTTCTCTGCTTCATTTTAATTCATTTTGTCTCCTCGCCAGATTTAATGCTCGGTTTAGTTTCGTTAGAGATGATAAGATTACTTAAAAACATAAATAACTTCGCTAAATCTGTTTCCTAATTTAAATGGCGTTACGCATTACGTACAATTTACACCAGTTTGTTTATTTCCACTTACTCAATTACGCCCATTATTACCACTTCCTTATTCTCAAATCAGACATACGAGAATCTAATCTCGCACTTTTTTAATTTCCCATTCGAATTTCGACAAGATATTTACGAGCCAAAGACCGAAAAGCATAAAGCGTTAAATTTATGACAAAATTATCCTCAACGTTATAAGATGTTGCTCACACTCCCTTTTTACGCGATTTCACCCACTGCTGAATTCACCTGTTACTCGATGGAATTTTAATTGACAAAAAATTACGATTTTTTAAATTAATCAAGAAGTTGAGTTTCCGGGTTGATCGATGGAATTAGAAAATGACAAAGTTGCGTTAACATCGCCCCTACACACCAACGACGGTGTCACGTGGCTCATTAATTACCTTACTAATCAGCGCACCAGTCCAATTTAGCTGTGGCCTCTTCCACAATGCTTAAGAACTTAACCGAAATTTGATATTAATAAATAATGAGATAGCGTTGAGGGAGATACACAAAACCACCAACTTGCTACTTTCAGCTAATAAAAAGATTTTTTTAACAATAAACAGTTTTTGGTTTTATTCTTTATGCTTTTGTGCCCGAAACACTATGTATACTTTGCATTTAAACAATACGTTTGTATGTTTTACGATCTTTAGATCTAGACTACTCTTCTGGAATACACTCAAAGTATGTGCCTTACCGAATAGTGGCTGTGTTCCGTTTCTCAAACTCTCTCACTTCTATTTTATTTATTCACATTTAGCGAATAGCGTCCATTGGTCACAAAGACAATAAAGCAAAAATAAGAAAAACAAAGGTATAGGTAAGTATGTTATTACATTTTTTAATATATTGAAAAAAATATAAAACGAGTTATTTAAATTGTATAAATATTTATTTGAGTGTTGTACAAGCTAGTGAAAATTTTAAAGTGAACAAATGATTGGTGTGAGTTTGAGGATTGAATAAATTTTCAGTTTAGTACACAGCTCTGCCGAAGTTATACGAGCGTATATACATGCAGAAGATAACATGCTATTGTGCTGCTATCTAGTGGCAATATGTCTTACGCTGGAGATATTATCTGGAGAACTTAAACATAGCGTATCTTTAAAACCGCCAGTTTAGTTCTCTTTCTTATGCAATCCACATTATTGGCTGTTTTAGAGACAAACACTCATTATAAAGAAAAGGGCGGAGAACGTTACTTAAATCAAATTTCAATTAACTTCTTTTCGTGTCATGATTTATAGTCTTATGTAAAGTCTATATTGATTTAGTAGGCAATTAAATGCAAGTCGACTAAGAGTAAAATAAAAAAAATAGCGTACTGTAAAAGCTTTTATATTGTACCATCAAAGCTTCGGATTATCAGAAAATCTCCACTAATACGTCAATAGAGCTTGAAATTTGATTAAGTTTACTCTTTCACAAATCACAATTTGTTTTCATTCAAAGATTTT